CTATTCACTTTAATTCATTAAATTCATGTTGTATGTGTCACCTTGATAGGGATTTCCTAGAATTGAACTTTTACCTTGGTACCTACGGGTTATGCATTGGGTAGCTTTGTTAGTGCTCAATTAAACCATGATCTTGTAACTTGACAAATGGTATATGCAATAAACATTAAAATATGACTTTTTAGCAACATGGAAACGGGGGGCTGGAGTATTTAGCTACTTTCTAAATGCTTTAGATTCCTCTCTCTAAGGACTTATCTGTAAGTGATCATCCGGGACTTACAGTACAACTGTGAGGGCTATATGACTCTGGCTTTAGCTCAGTATGAGGACCTTTTCTAGCTTGTTAAAGGTTACCTTCATGGCGCAAGAGGGGTGTGTTCCAGGTTGGATATAGTGCGGCCTCTGTCCGTTAGTGTATAGGCTGCGCGTCATTGTGCCTGTCGGAAGGAGAGCTCTACATTCACAGGCCACAGAAACCTAAGCGGCCCTAACTTGTTAGACGAACCTTTGAAAGGCTTCATAGTGACCCCTGCCTGCTCACCTTGGAAGTGTTTTGGGAGTTATAAACCCGGGCATATGGGTATCACGACTCACAGTGAAAGTATACAACCTCTGCAGAGTGTAAAACTAGTATATCAGTCATGCTCACGGTCACGAGCGGCCTTGGAGCCCTTACAGAATAGATGAACACTAAGGATTATCTATTTGTGCTATTCATTATTCATGTTTACATTTGATCATGTGTTTTGCATTGGGAATTGAAACAACTTGTTGCTACTCTTAAGCTAAAATTGTGACAACCAAAAACTAAACGTTGTTAAACCTGTGTCAAGCCTTTTGAGCCTCATGAACCCCATGTTATACTTGTTGAGTACGACATGTACTTATGCTTGTTTATTTTTATTATTTGGATAAAAATCTCGAATGGGTAACAGATGGCTTTGGGTATGATGATTTCCCTGAGGACTTCTAGACTTGTGGTCAACCAGTCGACGTCCCTGTGAAATGGAGCTTCCACGAGAGATCTTTTATTACTTCCGCTATATCTATGTGAAGACTTTGTCTTATTCGTGATGTAATAAACACTTGTGATGATATTATTCATAATTTGTCGGTTTATGTGTGTGACTGTTCTCTGGGCGCACATAAGATTTTGCACTCTATTTTATCCTTAAAATCGGGTTTGACAACTATTTGGATTCTCACTATGCAAAGGCAATAATCACTATGAGAATAAGATCCAAACACCCGTCAACTTTTTATCTAGAATGATTACAAGAATAAGATCTAGCAGGGCCTAAAGTATGTTCCACTCACACCAGAGCAAAGGCTATATGTTAACCTAACTAGAACAAACAGGAACTTTTGTCAGCATATGGAATCATGGATATAATTTATTAATTATTTTGTGTCATGTATGTTGAATAATTAGGTAAGTTCATGATTAATTTTAGAATATAAAACATGACAAACACAAGATACTAGCTTAACATACTAGTTGAACCAAACAACATCAACATAAACAGTAGCAAGATGCAACCAGCAGACACATTAAAATGATAGATTGAATCATGGCGTGCATGCTTCTTGTTTGCAAATGAAGATGTCATGGCTGGTGGTGGAGGAGCAACAATGTTGTTGACGACGTCAGTGATACGGGTCAAAGCAGACGGCAACGAAGACAATGGTATGTAGTACCGCCTGACTTGGATGAAAGACGACCTATCATGGAGGTCACGAGCAACAGCCAAGAAAGGCGCTTCCCAAAAACTTATGCATCCTCCCCGAGTGCGGGATCACAAGGGTGAGCAGTTTCAGAGACCTGCTCTCCTAATCACTGGTGCACGCAAGCAGTCGGAATAGAGAGGCTATAACGGTAGCGCGACAATGAAAAAGAGGCAAAACCCTAACTCAAATAGATTGATGTGTTTTTCAGCAGTGGCCAATAGGTCGTTTAGGGAATTCCTGCATGATCTTGTGATGCGATCACGATCTAAACTGAATAGGTTTTTGATCGTAGACTTAAAGACCAAACAACCAAAAGGTTAAAACTACAAAAGGAGACTAGACTTAGAGGTCAAGCAACAAAAAACTAAAACTACAAAAGGAGGCCATACTCCCGCAAGATCATGAGCCAAAATTTTGTCGAACCATTCACACACAAGTGCCACGTGCCCTTCCCCTCAAGCCTGAGAAAGCGAGCACGTGTAGTGTTATGTTCTCTCTCTTCGCACTAGACTTGGTGAAGTGGAAAGGACTTCCATATGTAAGCATGTTATCTTCTACTTCAACTATCAAGGTAAGACTAATGTTATCCTCTACTTCAACTAGCAAGGTGAGACTAAAGTTCTCCCACTTCCATATGCATATATGAATGGTCCTTGACAATTGGAGATTATCAATTTGGGCCAAGCATTTTCCAACAATCTATACTATCAGAGAATCTAAGCTTAATAAAATGAAATAGGTAAATACTAGTACATAAATGATTTTTGTCGATGCCAGGGATTTTTTTCTATTGGTGGTTCATAAAGGATAAGTGCCATGGAAATAGAACGAAGGGCCCATGGCTATGAAGCGCCAGTGGAGATAGATCTCTACTGGGGGTTTCCTTAAGGTTACCACTAGTACAAATCCTCTATATTACACTGGTGGTAGGCTTAAGATAGCCGCTAGTATAAATGACAGTAGTCTTAAGCCAACCGCTACTATAATATAGAGGATTTGTACTAGCGATAACCTTAAGAAAATCGCCAATAGAGATGTATCTACACTTGCGATTTTCTTAGTGGCCATGGATGAAGAAATTAAATGACCAAAACTAAAGTTTGTAGTGCTAAAAATATCTGCAGCTTTGTAGTTGACAACTGCCATGAAATTAAATGACCAAAACCAAAGTTTCATCATTTGACATCATTTAGGGTCCAAAATTATATTTTAAAAGATTAATGGTTTTGAATTTTTTTAAAAAAAATCAAGTGACCTCGGATGGAGAAATATCCTAAACCAAAGTTGGAGTACGCGAAGAGATCTAAAACTTTTCAGTTCAAACTTTTCTATTTGAATTGGTTTAGGGTCTCAAATATACATTACAATATTCACCACAGTGAATACAAAGCGAATGTATGAGCCACTTAGTCACAAATGACTCTAAGGCATAGTGGTAATGAAGCAACATATGAGTACTGAAGATGTATTTCGATCCCCAATGGCTGCAAGCACTCGTATTTCATATGACAATTCCATCAGACTTGTTACATGGTTTGCCACCATGGGAGCTGGTGTTTTTGCTATTTTTTTACCCAATTTGCAAACTCTGGAAAAGTAATTTGCACTAGCGGTTTGGGTGATTCTCAAGTGATGGTGGTACAAGCGTCTTAGCGGTGATCTAATTAGCCTAAGCACTTTGCAAAGCACCTACACGCTAATCACCTAATATTTTTGTAAGCACTTTTGGTGGCTAGAGCATAAACGGATGAGCCTCAACTCTCCACACACTTCCCTCAGCTGACTGAGCAATAGGGTATATATAGCTTCGCTAAAAAAAAGTTAGGGTATATATAGCCCCAACATCCAAAATTAGTCGTTACTCGCTATTACACATTCTTTTGTGAGCATCGGATTGTTTCTATGCCTACCATCAGAACAATCTGATGGTGCTACTTTGACTAGCCGTTTGAAACTAGCTGTTATGCACTTTTCTGTGAGCATCGGATTGTCTCTATGGCCATCGGAATATAAGCATCGGAGTATAAGTTACCCTGTTTTCCCATTTTGCCTTGTGAGCATCAGATTGTTCTTATGACCATTGAATTGTTCCTATGACCATTGGATTGGTAGCATCGGACTATAAGTTACCCTACTTTTAGACCGACAAACTTTCATATATTAGATATAACTTTTAGCTCCGAACTTTGATTTTGATGATCTTGGACTTTTTGAGAAGTTAATGAAAAGCTCCCCAACTTTGAACCGATATCATATCAATTTGAGCAGATCCAAAATCATGACACAAGTCCAATTCATCCATCTTTGTTTCGGCTTTAGTGGCTTTAATTTTTTTGTGTCTTTCCTTCTAGCCTTCTATTTCTTGGTGTCTTAGACTTCTAGCATATATTGTAGGTCTTACCAATACCTTCTAATGTCTTGCTTGAGATGTTGACCATCCGGATCATCACTTTGCCTAAATCCAAGTCCACCTTGCATCCATTTGAACTATACATTGTATACTAGCAAACATCGTTAATCCAAATTAAATGGTTACGTTGATCATCAAACACCAAAATCTAAACATAATGGCCCATAAGGTCCATTTTCCTTACATGTATCATCTTAATGTATTTACCTTAGATCAATATAGGTTCCTTCATCTAAAAGCAATTTCTATAAGGCGTTTGGATCCCTTCATTTTGAAGGAATTGAAATCTACTTAATGGATTAGACTATTTGGCTTGGAATATAAGATTCCACAACTTTACAAAGTTCATATATAAGCCTATCTCAAATTCATAGGGTGAACGATAGAAATTGATTCTATAGATCATCATGCTATGTTTCTACTCTCTAACTTATAGCATGCTCTTCCAACTCGCTTCTCTATAGTAGAAATACAACATATAAGCATCTCTCTTGCATAGCTAACAATACTATACAAATATATTCCATATACAACCATATTAACTTAATTAATATGTGCCTAAATTATAATTTTTTAGAATGAATTCAATTCCAAGGATCTAAATGGGGCCTAATTGTCTTTACTTGTTACCAGTGTTTGAGCATTCAAGCAAAAGCTTAACTAGTTGGCTTTTACCCTTTAATAACCCAAAAAAGTTGTACAAATAGACCTCTCTAAAAGATTCAAGTCAATTTGCAATTGCCTCCTAACAATAAAAAAATTTGTGTACAAATAGACCTATCTTACTATGAAACACCTATCATATACATTCTACATAAGAAAAATCATTTCTATTTGCTAAGACTATGAGAACGGGCAATCAGGCAGAAGCACTGCCAGATGCCTCTACTGGCTTTGAGAAAATCCTCTGGCCTGGCGACAATAATGCCTGAGGATCATATCTAGCCTTTAGCTCAGCAATTTTGCTCCATTTTGCCCCAAAATGTTGTTGCCACCCGTCTTGAGATGTGTAGTGTGGCAGGTACTGTTTGCATTCTATGCCTTCCTGATCACAGAAGTCCAACACCGCCTTGTTCCCTCCCTCAAGCTGGGGCACATCATCCATGGACAATGCCGACCAAAGCATACTCACGGCATAGAACACGTCGTCGTTCGTGGTTGGGGTCATTGCTGTCATCCGATCGTCCCACACATCCTTGTTCATAGGGTACATGAGGATGATCCCGGCTGGGTTGGCGTCCTTGAGGAGAGCCTTGAACACGCCATTGTCAAAGTCGAGGATGCGAGACCGCGGGACGAAGAGGTTCAGCCAAGGGTGTGGCACCTCCCAGACGCCGGCTGACCGGAGCACCCTCTCCTCCTCGCGCACCCGGTCGAGGAACTGCACGAACGTCACGTCCTTGGAGAACACAAACCCTGGCTCGAAGCTAAGCCGATCCAGGAGTGCCGTCATTTTCTGCAACGATTAATAGCAAGATCGAATGAGTTTTCTTTCATCCAGAGCGATAGGCGGTGTAAAATCATGGTGATAACAATGAAATTAAATTCGAATTTTGTGTTCGAGCTAATTTGTACCTTGTCCACAGATATGGCGGTGTCCTCGGTGTAGTACATGGCAGCTTCGATGTAGTAGATTGCCGCGGACCCAGTCCTGAAAGCGAGCCTAGCAAGCCTAGTAAGATCGGTGCCGGAGAAGAACGGTGTTGATTTGGGGCCTTCGACCAAGGACCGGTTGAGCTGGACCTGGCCTTCAACGTAGTCGAACCTGGCCTGACCAGTTCGGTTTGATATGAGAAACTCCTGATCCTTGGTGAAAGTGGCGACATCCGAGTAGGCAAGCCGAACCCAACGCACCCTCTTGGGCGCCGGCTCAAGCCGGGTCCGAGCACGGGCTATGACCCCGAACTGGCCCAATCCACCCAGAGCTGCGAAGAACAGGTCCGAGTTCACGTCCCTGGAGCATGTCACCATCTCACCTGTCCCTGCATTGTCCATGATACATAAACTATTATTAACATGCGTGTGTTACTAATTGTCACTGGGGATAATTACTATTGTTACTGCTGTAAATCTGTAATGATCGATCGATACCTGTGACGACGTCGAGCTCGTGCACGTTGGCGATCTGAGGGCCGTGCCGGAACGCCTGCCCGCCGATGCCAGCGTTGGAGAGCGTGCCGCCGACGGTGAGCCGGAGGTAGTCCGTCCACACGCGTGGCGCCAGGCCGTGCTGCAGCGTCGCGCGGAGGACGTCGATCCACAGCTGCTCTCCGCCGGCGTCGACGAACGGCTCCGCGCCGGCCGGGGACACGTTGATGCGGGCCGCGCGGTGACCGCGCCCGAGCGAGCTCATGTCCACGACAACGCCTCCCGGGGCGAGCGCCTGTCCGCGCCAGGAGTGGCCCTCCCCGCGCGGCGCCACGGGGAACGGCGCAGCCGACGAGGCGGAGAACCGGATGAGCGCGGCGATGTCCGCGGGCGTGGCGGGATGGAACACGGCCTCCGGCGCGGACTTCACCATTTGGCCGAAGTCCGTCGACGCCTTCGCCGTCGAGTTGCGATCTGTGCGGATCCTCGACGCGATGCCCAGGCCGAAAAGATCGCCGGGGAGGCCAGCGGCAGGCATTGGCCGGAGCTGGCCGGCAACGACGACTGAGAGGAAGCTGGTGAGGACGGCGATCGCCGCGAAACGAGTCCTTGCCATGCTTCTCTTTCTGCAACACTGCACTTGGAGGTGGCGAATTTGATCTGCGGACCTGATTGCTTTGGGGATTATAGAAATTATAGGAGAGATTGCTTGTGTATCCTAGAGGCCAAGAACTTCCATGGTATTTATAGGATACCATTTGGCCTCGCAAACGTTGACAAATGGAGGCATAGCAGCCTTTCTGATTATTGATTTGTTCTGAATATTTTTAAGCTGATTGACTTTTGCCACAAAAAAAAGAGCCATGTACCTGAAGCAACACTGTGGTGAACTTATGTTGATAGGTCACATCTTCTGGTTTTGAGATGTTGACTTGTTGAGAGTATCAAAATGATTATTGGTCAGAGCAATTGCTTTGTTTTTTTAATGGTCATGAAAGGTCAGAGATTCAGAGCAAATTTTCTTCTGCCTTTACTGGCTTGAAATTACTCAGGCGGACATAGTGGCCAAAATGTAAGCTTTATGATAGTTTTCTTACTCAAATAAAGGTAAAGCTTTTCTTCCCATTCACCATCATATAACATAAATTTTAATTCAAGTAGATTTCAGAAAACTACAACTATCAACTATATTGACCCAAAACATTCATAGCTACAATTATTTTTTGACATATATCTTAAAATAAAAAATTTTACAAACTAGTATATATCAAAGAAATAAAATAATTTATGTAAAAAAAGTTGTATTTCTAGAAAATCAAGTGTCAAAATAGTGCTTCTACATATAATTTATGTCTGCACAGTCATAGTTCTGTGACCATTAGATCAAAAAATTGTAGTTCTGCGCAAATTACTCTATCAAATGTTCAGGTCAATATAATTCAGATGATTAGACCAGATTGTACAGCTCGGGTCCACCTGGAAGATAACACTCCACGGTAATCAGGCAAGAAGCATGCATGTGACTGTAGTGATCAACTGACGGCAGGAGATTTTGTCACATGGCAACAATCCTGACTCCTGACTACCAACCAATGATGCAGGCAGATAAACTGGAAATTGACTCCCACTTTGCAAGACGGCATGAGTTGAAGTGTTGAACTATTCATGATGCCACCTCCATTGACATTCCGGTTTGTTGATGTCCGGTATGGGAGTGACAGGTATGCAAGCCCCCCTTTTTTTTAAAAATTTGGAACTCAACGATATTATAGAATTATAAAGTCGTCAGTTCATGTGTGCAGTCAGATCGCAAATTTAAACTCCATGTGTGCAGAAAAATATATACTTCCGACGGCAGGGCCAAGGTATTAAAATTTTTTGAATGAAACAGTATAAGGTTGCAGGCTGCGAGGATGCATGAATGTCGAGGGGCTATATTTTTCAGACCAAATCAAATCTGCAGATTTGTCAACTGCTTGAATAGAGGACACCTCACTGTTTGCCACCCTTTAAAGAAGCTGCAAGGCCAGAAAAACAAAGGCCAAGTTACCTGATGGTTCATGCATGCACGGGCTCTGCAGACTACCTTGATTGATTGATGCCAGGCCTCATATTTTGATGTTTGGGTCAACGGTTTTAGTGCATTTCATCTGTAAATTTCTCTTATATATGCTGAGCGAGGCATATTTCTTCCTCCAGTCCCACGTTTTTAGGGGTACTTTTGTGAATGTTTTGACTTTCTGTGCGTGCGTGTTCTATTTTATTAGCAATGGCCAAGCTCAACCTCACATGTCGTTAACAGGGTAAGAACACCACAACAGCAGCCCAACAAACGCAGGCCTCATACGCAAACCAAACCATGCTCCATCACTTAATATATATTGCATAATTGCATTCGATCCAATGGGCACAGAACTGATAAGTATTGGTGAGGTTTTAGATAAATACTGCTAAGCATTATAAAATTCATATTCATGATTCCCCTAGAGGGTTTTTTTTTTGCCGTTGTGTTTCATATAATTCACACAAAGAATAGCAAAATGTTTCATTGTCAGTCAACCACATTTTTTGAATTTAGAAGTACATATAGTTGCAGCATTGGATATACAAAACTGATAAGTATTGGCGAGATTTTAGATAAATGCCACTAAGCTTTATAAATTCATATTCTTCATGATTTCCTTATGTTTTTCTTTTTTTTCTGTTTTGTTCATCTTTTATATATGTAAAACAAAGAATAGCAATATGTTTCACTGTCAATCAACCACAGTTTTTTGAATTTAGAAGTACATATATAGAAGATATTATTGCTGACAAATGAAGTAATTATTGTACCACTTCAACTGTAATTTTGCAATTTCATAGTAAAATAGAGATATAATTTATCCACTTTAGGTAATTTAAACCTCTTGGAAAATAACCAGTTATTGTTACTGGTAGGAAGCTTTGACATTCAAAAATCCGGTATATTATAAACTCTAATTTGGGCTTCTAAAGGGTACTACTGCCAAGTGGGCACGTGATGATGACCCATGAAAAGGGTAAATCGAGTCACATAGAACTTTTAATTTTGTTATTTTGACCGCCTCGGTTAATCAATTTTCGGAGACGGGCACACTATAAGGCTCGCCTCCGAAAATACTGGCCCAGCTCCGAGGTCCATCAGCAGCCCGCTCCAAACCCTAACTATAAAATGCACCGCTCAGCCACTTCTCTCTCCACTTCTCCCCCTCTTAGCCACTCCATCCCTCCCTCTCTCCGGCACTCCCTCCCTCCCTCTCTCCCGGCGCTACCTCTCTCCCGGTGCGGGGCGATGGGGCTGTGGTGGCACGGTGAGGGGAGCACGGTGGCGAGCCGTGCGGCACCCCTCAGATGCACGCGCAAGGAGCAGGGGCGCAGGCATCGGGCTCGATCCGTGACGCGGCAGATACACAAATCCCTCTCCCTCTCTCTCCATCTCCCTCACTCTTCCCTCTCTTCATCTCCCTCACTCTCCCCTCTCCCCTTTTGTAGATACGGTGGAGCAGAGGCAGATCCGGTGGCGGGACTCTAGAGGAGGGGCAGATCTGGGCGACGCCACGATGGGAGCATGGAGGGCGGCCGACGTTGGCGTGGGCATGGATCTAGATCTAGGGCTAGGATTGGGATCGCCGGTGGGCTCAAAAATGGGCTCACCAGTGGGCTTTGGGTTTTTTCTATTTTTTTAATCCATTAACTGAGGCGGGCATTTGCAAGACACCCGTCTCCGTTAATTGATAACTAAGGCGGGCTAACCAACTGACTTCGTAGGTCTAGATTAACCATGACCTTTGGACGGAGACGGATGGTTTGCCCACCTTCGTTAATCCAAAAGGCCCGCCTAAGTTAGGTTTACTGTAGTAATGAAAAGTGATATTTTGTTCTCCTTCTATATGATGCTTCAAAGATATCTAGGAAGTTACCCTAAAAATAAGCTACAAATAAGAGTGTAATATTTGTTGTCAAATGTTGCATCATTTCCACAAAGCCAAATAGATCAGAAAATTGCACTTGATCCCATACAAACTAAAGAACGCATATGCTGGCCTATTTATCAAAACTATATTCTGGATAAATCGACTACATCTTTAGGAGGTTGCAAACTAAATGACATGCATTGTAAAAACTCTAGACAAATCTCGCAACATGACAATCGACTATACTGGTCAACGCAACATGATAGTCGATTATCATAAAAAAAACACTGGTCATCTTCTTTCCAATTTATTTTTCATAAATTAATTTTCGTTAAAATTACCCTTTAACAATGTCATATTTAATGGTTTCAAAAAAACTAGGGTAGATGGACGCTTCGTTTCAAAATCGCGAGGGCAAAATCACAAAGTTAAAAAAAATTGGGGCAAAATCACCATTGCAGTCTATTTCCTTCTTTTTTTGTGTTGTTAGGAGGCAATTGTAGATTGACTTGAATCTTTTAGAGAAGTCCATTTGTTCAAATTTGTTTTGGGTTGTTAGAGGGAAAAAGCCAACCGGTTAAGCTTTTGCTGGAATGCTCAAACACTGGTTGTAAAGAAAGACAATTATAGAAATTGCTTTAGATAAAAGAACATATATTTATCTGTGGTAATTACATTAAGATGATACCATTGATCTAATTAAGACTACTTCTGATCTCTACATTGTTAGGACGCACACAAGCTACGATCATTAAAGGATAAGGACATGATATTATGTTATGGCGAGTTACAACTTACAACACACAACATAGTCTTCTTTTGTGCATCCCAGCAATGCATGGGCCTAAAAGAAAAAACATCAAAAAGTAATGCCTGAAGTAGAAAACGACATACATGCACGCTGTCATTGCCATGATCCAAGTAGTATAGGCTAGACCATTGGTTTTCATCGTGGAGAGTGAAAGCATCTAGGCCCCTAGTTGGGTTTCGATGATTAATGACGATACGAGATTACTATGACTAACGTGTGTTTTATAGAGGCAATTTGAGTTAGGTCATGGTAATGGTAATTGATTGGGCAATCATGGTTGTCATGTCCCTAACGATAAAAATCATTTCGGTTTTCAAAGGATGGACGACAAGGTTAAGGACAGACTAGTTCTAAGTGTCGTTTGGTGTTGGAGAGACACTTAGAGTAGTTTAGGACTTTGTTTTTCCTTTGGTCGTACTATTAAGGGGGGTATGGACTAGTAGCTTGACCTAGGTAAGTCTAGTGGGTTAGGTGTGGTGCACACTTGTCAAACCTAGCACTAGGTAGCTCAGGAATAGCCCTAAGATCAATTGGAGTGAACTTCATTCACATAGGATTTTGAGTTGGAAGTGAATGGAGGGTCAAATGATTGACCGGACGCTGGTCTGGTTTTGACCGGACGCTGCAAGGTGAGTCCGGTCAGTTCATTTGATCAACTACAGTCGTCTGGTACTGACCGGACGCTGAGTGAAAAGTGACCAGACGCTGGGTACCTGAGTCTGGTCAACTCCAGAGAGGTTCCAGAGAAGAATTTTCTTGACCGAACGCGTCCGGTCAATGCTGACCGAACGCTGGTCAGGATCCGGTAACTGACCGGACGCTGAACAGTGAAGTGATCAGACTCTGGGTGCTAGCGTCCGGTCAACATCA